GTACCACTCAATCCTTATTATTATGACAGAATTAAACTCGCTTGACATAATAAATATTTTGAGCTCATCACGGGGATGTCATCAACCTGGCGCACCAATGCACAATGACCGAATATAATCGACAACACACCATGTGATTGATAATAATTCAACTCGTTGAGTTATGGGCCTAGCAAAATAAGTCTCTCTTTGGTAAATCAAAGAATGATTATTAATCACACATTCCTATCATTATTAAACGGTTTAAGAGTATGAGCTATATCAAGAGAAATAGTTTATTTACTGGGTCAGTACAAATGAATTTCTCCGAGTTCCGTTCAATGCACACAAAGTATACTAGCATAATTCGTTGGTTAAGATAAATTAACTCAGATTACAATATAACCATACCGATAGGTTTGTCCTTTGCTATCTTGGTATGAACCTTATTTATATTGCACAAGGAACCGACAATAGAATCATCTATGTGCCGACACCACACTATGTTATCTTCAATGTGAATAACAGGACAAGAGGCAAAACCATACATAAAGTAAACTGCACAAACATTGACTAAACATGAATCTTTTATTCAAAACAGAAATAGAGTTCAAACGAAACAATGCTTTCAATATACAAACCATCACAACTCGGCGTACCTATCGTCCCTTGGTGCCAAAAAAAAATTTCTTGATCCACCCTTAGAGGTTTTCCTCATCAAGATTGAGTCCAATTCTTCCGTCGATGGGGCCGATCATCCTTTTTTATAGAAAAGAACTATGAGGGAGCATAATTTGTACCAAGTGTTAGGATGAATTTGGCTAACGCCGATCCTCCATTCCAGCATGTATTCCACAAATATGTTGGGTAATGAAAACCGCTATTCTCGATTCCCAATGAACTGCCACACACCAGGGTGAGGACAATGGATTCGTTCACTTTCATATGGCACGAAGAGCCTTTCCGATGAAGGCACCCCAAGATTTTACTGCAATTTAACCACATCAATGTCCTTCAAAATGCCTGCCTTTTACAAATCTCCAGATCACTCGGTTTCTTTGGATCTTCCACGGGAGGTCTTCTCCAAAAGCCTTCTGGTGTCGCCCCAGATGACTCTTCCTCGATCCATGCTTGCATCTCTTGGATCCTACTTACTAGAGATCGGCTCCCTTATTTGGCCAGCCCAATTATTCCTCAAAGATGCCTCTACCATTTCCTTATCAAAGTCGTGGCTACTTTCCGACATCCTGAGCAGCTAAGAAAAAATCTATATCTTTAGGGATAATTTGAAGATCTCATCTTATAAACTTTGTGAGCAAGAAGATAAAGGAAAAGTACGAAAAAACACCACTATTATAGCTCAAAAAAATAACCCTTGAAATAGATCTAAGGACGTTGGTTATCGGGAAAGTTCACACGTCTCCATCTCTAACAAGTGCCACATGTCCCATCAGATGTCGTGTTACCTTCTTTAAAAAACCGTCGTGAATCAAAATCTGAATTTTACTGCGTCTCAGCACGATTGATCTCAAATATTGGTGGAAATCGCAAACAGCTTCCGAAGTCCCTTTTGTGATCATACTATCCTTTCGACAACCTGAAAACTTGAGGGCCCCTGTTGTAGGCCTACAAAGCCTCCTGAGAAAGACCGTAAGTGTAATGCCCCACTTTTATTTGTCGAAAACCAGAATAAATTTTTCAAATTTATTTCAATAAACACTTGAGGCGTTACTCATTTTCAAAACGGTTTATCAATACTTAACCAAATTTTAAATACTCAATCATTCACCAATACTTAAACAATCATCCATACTCAATTATCAATGCTCAAATTCGCAATCCAATAATCAAATCATCCTAGGGAGTACACTCCCTATCAATAATCCAGAAATCAATAATAAAGAAAACAGTAATAGCAATATTCAGTTTTGGCGGAAGCAATATCAATTATGAAGACCACCACTCGCATCCCTTCACCGTGCCCGCAACACTAACCTGCATCCATGAAGAGCAGGTGGGGATGAGCACAATAGGAAAATCGAGGTGCTCACTGCTATGCAATAATTAATATTCGATAATCAATAAACAATTTTAGGTATGGTCGCAGCATGTATATGAATCAATAATCGTCTCATCTCCTATCAATAATCAATAATGAGTCTCATGTGCACACTTATAGCAATAGACTACTGCCGAATTATATACCGAACGTCTTATCTAAGGCCTTACAACGAGTGTCCGGCCAGCAGGAGCAATAATCCACCCCGAATGCCAAAACTTACGCCTTGGCCTTACATACGAGGATCACCAGCCAAGGCTCACGCCCTGACTGCCAACAATAATAAAGGAGACTACCCGAAGGTATGTTCTATAGCTACGGGGATAACCGTTCGACGGCCAATATAGCTCCCATCGAAGGCTACATGGTTCACATGCATACATTGATCATACCACAGCAAAAGCAATTAATTAAGGCATAGCAAATTTCACAATTAAAACCCACCTGGTAATCGGAATGGGAAAACACAACAAGTAGTGGGACGTAGGTCAAGGGCTCGACTCCTCAAACTCCTACATTTAAGCGAGATAATATTCAAAATTTTATCTCACTACTCGGAATTAACATATAAGTCACGCTTAATCAAAATAATGATTAAGGGATTTTTATCGGAATTTATCGTGGACTTGGAGGACTAAATTAGAGTCTCGGGACTTAAAATAAATTTTCCAAATTTTTTCTCATATTGAAAATATTTTTAAAATCGAAAACGGTATTACAAACGGGACTCCGAAACTCAAAATAGACCAAAAAGGCCAACTGGGCCGCGCTGGAAAAATCTGCCGCGAAAATGGGCCATGGAACGCGAAATGGGCCGCGAAAATCTGCTCAAGATGGGCCGCCAAATGAGGCCTGGGCCCACTGGAATGGGCACGGGCTTCTGCTGGGTTCGTGGGCCGAACGAAGTCAGAGAACGCGGGCCTGCGCGGGCTGACATCACTGACCGAAGACGGGCCGCGTGCGGGCTGGAAACGGGCCAAGCAGCCCGCGCGCCTGGAAAAAAAGAAAGTGACAGCTCTGGGTTTCGAACTCAGGACCACACACACAAACATACACATGGAAAACCACTGCGCCACATGCTTTTTTTGGAAGTAAAAGGGAAAATGCGCTACTTATATGAAACCAAAAAGTCCTGATTGCGAGCAGAAAAAAGAATGGAAATACCCACAGGCACCACGGATTTTGACGTTTTGACGGCATAAACTCACGGACAACAATTCCGAGACATCATATTTTTGCAAATCATAAATTTTAAGAGTTAGAACATTTATAAAAATCGGATTTTTGGCTCGAAAAACGAAAATACGACTCGAAAAATGAAAATTCGACTTGAAAGCAAACGGACGCCAAGACGAACTACGAGGGCTCGAAACAATAAAACGAGACTCCGAAATAAATAAACGAAACTCCAAATACATCAGGATTAAACCACAGCGACATACACAGGCTCAATTTCGCAAACGAGAGTTCCAATGGGTCCACGATAACATATATGAATAAATAAACGAACCGATAGACTAATCAACGATTATCGATTTAAGGAGAGAATAAATCCAACCACATGATATTCGAGCATGAAAATATAACGAGAAGGTTCGAAAAGGTGGGTTACCCGTCTTCGGGAATCTACACGAAATCTGGAAACGGGTCGGACGAACGGGATGACCGGAGCTCGAAATTTCAACGAAGGTGCCGCTGTGATTTCTCTGACGGACTGAGGCTGCTCGCGAACAATTTTTGTGGTCTGACGGAGACTAACAGCGGCTGACGAAAGTAGGAGAAGGCCTTGCCGGAGTGCTCGCCGGAAAGAATGGTGAGTGAAGCTTTGGTGACGAGTTGTCGCTGGAAGTGCTCGGCAATGGCGGACAGCGGCTGAGAACACGACCGCGGCTGCTAAGAGAGGAAGGTATCGCCGGTGATGCTCAGAGAGAGACCAGCGGCGGAGCTTCTCGCCGGAGAAGAAGGTATGAGCGACTGATTTATTTATTTATTTATTTTTTTAATAGCTGCGATGGAGAATTGAACAGAGAGGAGTAGGGAGTTCTGATGAAAAGATTTCTCTCCTCGATCGATATATATAAGAGATGTGCGAGCGATTTTTGAGTGAACGTGCGATAGAGATCCACAAAATAACCGCAACAGATTTTGAAGGGGCGGACTCGGTCGTACAGGGTGAGGAAGGAGAAGGAAATATCTTTCACGCGTATTTTAATAAAAGAATGGGCCAAAGTATTATATAAGAGAAATGGGCCAAGGAATAATTTAATTCTAATGGGCTAAATTGATTAATCTCAAAGGGCTGGAAAAATACAATTGAAAAGGACAAATAATATAAATTGGGTTGAAAACAATTAAATCGGGCCGAAAGAAATACATTACGATAACAAAATTCCCGATAGATTCGATTGACGACGAATAACAAATAAAAATACTCAACTTATTATATTAATTAGACTACATCTAATTAAATAACAATAATAAGCCTAAATGGAAAGATGTCGAACAATAATACAATAGACAATTAATTCAAATAATAATAACAATGCCAATAAATAATATTCGAAAAATCTCATATTCGAACAGGGCATTACAGTAAGCATCCTCAGAAAGCCCATAGACTACGACATAAGCATGGGCCCTTATCGCGACAGCGTATCACTCCTAAGAAAGGCCCAAGAATACTAGTAAGATTGGCCCAACACTTGGACAATACAACCTCTCAATCTCTTGATCGCCACATATTGAAAAGTACTGATTTTACAAACCGTCTATGGTCGATTGTTGATCATTCTGCGAAGAATGAACACGCTCTAACAGGCTGAACTATTAAAGACGCTAAAATTGGTGACACCGCCGGCCAAAGGGTCTCGTCTCGCCGTCCAAACTAGTCATGCCTTACAGACCTGCAAAAATACGTCCCATCCTCAAAAGATGAACTCCTGCATAGCACCAGTCGTCCTCCTCTTAGCTAACAACATCATTACATTTCACTGTTTTCATGTATAAAGGTGACCCCTCGGCACCTCATTTAGGACAGACGAAGCTAAGTCAAGCTAAACATTAAAAACACATATACTAGCATGCACAATCTCATTATGCAGCTATCACAATAACAACAAACTTTTGCTAGTGATTCCTTCGGTGAACCTTTCTTTTCGTCAATGATCGGCGAAATCGTGTGTTATTTTATTTCCTTGTTATTTCAAACCATATGTATTAGCATAAATATAATACACATCAAACCTCTACCCAATCACAATTTACCTATACTTAATCCTGCAATCAAGGATCGTTGGCGATCGCTCGTCAACATGTTCCGTACATGTACAAACAGAGCTGAAAATTGTAAGAGGTAAAATTATACCAAATTTTCACAAAAGAGCCAGAAAAAGGTCAAGGTTTCTGTGCAGAAAAGATTATAAATGACTGCTGAACTTTCTTGGTGTAGTTAACAAGGCCACATGACGAGCACAGATCTTCAATCTCCTCTTCTGTTAAATAATTGTAGTTGTTCCCTATCTGAAACAAGAAAATGGATTGCTAGGTTACATAAGACAAATATCGTGAATTTATCATGAATGGCAACTCGATCAGGTAAACATATTATTCTCTCTTTTTTTTCTTTATCCATCTCTTCTATCAATTGATATTTAGCTGATGAAACTTCTAGGAAATAATTATTTTCTATATTATTTTCTATTCCTCGAGATATTAGCAACTGCAAATTGCTGTACTTAAGTGTTACTACCATTTTTTAAAACCTATCAGCCTGCATATTTACTAAGTGAATGTTCGGAACAGGGCCATCAGGCTTAGATAATAACAAACCAGACTAGACGTAATCGAATTCAACAAAATGGAGCACCTGTCTTAGAGGCCTTAAGAATGCAGGAGTTGAAGAGGTAACTCGAAGGAAAGTACTTCCAACAAAAACACCACCACTTCGTAATATTCGATTGATTTCAGCAACCTAACATAGAAGCAATAATGTTTTAACACAAAGAAATGTGGTTCTTCTTTTCTTTGTTTGAACACACGAGGAATATTCGATTGATTTCACCCCTACCCATTAAATCTTAGCAAACATAAAAGCCAAATTCATATTCCTTGACAAGCAGATAAAAACCATGAAAATAAAATACTTACTGCATTGGAAGGAGATGGCCAACAATGCAAGGCTGCACCTGCATGAACGGCATCAACTGAACCAGAAGAAAAGGGAAGTCGTGAAACATCAGCCCTCACAAGTGCAAGATTGCTGCACAGTTTCAGACAAGAAAATGGATGATAATTTCACTTGTATTTAGAGGAAAGGAAATGCCATTTCGGAGATTGTCACCTTTTAGTGTCATTCTTATCAAGAGCTAAAGTAATAAGAAATATAACGCATTTACATCTATAACAAACATAAAGAAAGGTTGAAGAGGAAGGAGATGCTGACGATCGTAAGATAGCATCTTCATTCTTTATGAACTCAAAACATTGGCGAAGCATATTTTCAGAAAAATCCAGTGCAACAACTCTAGAATAAGCCCCAGATTTGGCAAATTTCCTGGAAAACAAGCCACTGCCACAGCTCACATCCACAAGGAATCCACCTTCAGATGGTTTAAAATACTCCTGAGCCATATTGAACTGCACAAAATTTCACAAACATAGCTTTGCGAGATCAGCAGGATATGTGGATGTGCAGATGAATTTGCAGGTTCAAAGGAAATATTGTTATGCTTGCATGTTATTCATGTTAACTAATATATAGACACATGTAAGTAAGAATTGAAAGCAGCTAAGATGGATATGTAATTGATGTAGACATGTCAAAACGGTCGGCGGGGCGGGGGTAGACCTGTGCAAAAAAGAAGTAAAATTACAACTAAGAGGTCATCTAGTGTTTGTGGTGTTGCCTCATAGAGATTAGTCCCTTACAAGACGAGCTTCTAAGGGAAATTAAAGAGCTTAAGTTCCTGGGCAAACTTTCGAGTAAATCAACATCTTTAAAATTAATTTTTTTCTTAGTAGGGTAATTATGCACTTTGGCCTAAAAAAATGAACCAGATTAAGACCATAAATTGTGTAATAGACACGTCCTTCAGATGAATAGACGTCAGAAAAACTCAGAAAAATATTTTTTTAAAAAAAAAAAGACGAAAAGAAAAACATGCTGTTGATAAAATACTTTAGAGAATTATGTCTCCACATACGACAACGTAACAATTAGCAAATACTATTCCATATAGGATTGACCCTACTTCAAATATAAGTAACAGTGGAAATAAATGTCATGAGAAACAGATATATAGATTAAATTTCAAACATTGTCGAACAACCTGATTTCACAAGGCCATATGGAATGACATGGAGACACAAACAAAGTTTCTAGCTGCTTTATCAATGTGGGTGGACCTGAAAGTCTTGGCCACAAACGAATAGCAACGGAAAACAAGGAACTAGTAAAGGAAGTCCAAAGATTAGAAAAGCACACGTTTGATTTTACCTCCAAATTTATGCAACAGCACGACAATCTATTTATTGGAAATTTTTCAGTCAGTTCCAGAGTTACTTTGCTTCCAGGATGATTCCTGGCGTACATAAAATGTACAGCTAAGAGATCATCTGAAACTTTTCTCTATTGTAAGTACACGACTGGGTAGCGTTAGCACATTTCATGTAGCAAATTTTTTGAAGTAGAAATAATGTATGACGCAAAATGTAAAGATCAAGATGCCAACTAAGCAATACAAAATTTTTTTCTAAAAACATGCATAGGAACCAAATTCGTCCCATACATGCATCACAAAAGGGAACAATCTCTTTGATACGCCTTTTCCTATTAATATTTATTCGCCTTTTCTTTTTTTTGTTTCTATAGTCTATTGAATCGGAACCTTCATCAATTTCAAGTTATAAAATTTTGTCCCCTTCTATAGAGTTAACTGGAAGGAAGCTGAGCTCTTTCTGAAGAAAGAGAAGCAAGAATTCACCTCTTCATCAGGACCAGGAAAACCACTACGACTAAAATTTTGACGCCAGCCCCTCTCATAGACAAATGAAACAAGTGGACTCCTGGCATAGGTACCGGGATAAATATCAGATGTGAAAAGAAGTACCAAGACAAGGTTTATAATACAATATTTAACTTACACAAGTCATAACAGAATATGTTAGAAACTACCAAGCAATTATCTGACATGTCAACACTCAATAAGAAGTAAGGCAAAGTGAATGTTATCATGCTGTCATGCAATTAAACACCAAACATGCTACTGAAAACAAAAAGGTTATGGAGGTAAAATTGTCCAGCATCAATCAAGGTAAGAAAAGCAGACACAGAATTCACGGAAAGCATAAGAGAAACTACAAATGATTCGTTCACTGACAGTCAGACACAGAGCACATAAATTTACTGAATTTGGCAAATGCAATGTCTTAATATTTTCAAGCATATAAGAACAGCTAAGTTCAGATAACACCGAATTGACAACGTTAACAGGTAGATAGGATGCAGGTGATATTACACCCCATACACGAATCATTCTAAGTTTTCCATTCTGTGACAGAGTATGCCATATTAACTGCACAAAGTGATCCTCTATACGCTGCCAGTACAGAAGAGAAAATAAACCTTGACAACCTGTCTGCTTAGTAACTTTACAGTACCATCTGCATGTGAAAATGCGTAAGTTCTCTGTATCATGTTATACCACAGCAAAAGCGAATGAGTTTTAATGAGACAACACAACTGTTCCCGGATATGCTAACATATAAGCTTCCAGATTATCCAAAGTTCTATTGTTCAATTGGCTTAATATTATGTTGTTGCCATCAGTGTATCATGCACTAATACAATCCCTGCCCGAACTAAATAAATCTCTCCATGGTTATCTATGATCTTCAGACCATTAAATACAATAAACATGTCAATGAACTATGAAGTTGTTGAATTTTTGCTGTCACCACCAAATCTATTGCATCCTATCAACAATAGGATATGAAATAAGAAGTCAAATATAAGCTTATTAGTGAAACAACTAGTGATTAATCAATGAAACTAACATGCCCCAAGAATGCTAACAAGTACATCTCTGAAGTTTGCAATGAGAGTATCTTTCACAACCTTCTAAAATAAGCATCGGGAACATGAACTAGCATAAGACACAAAAGCTATTACTATCAACTGATATTGAAAATTAACATCATCATAATAAGAGAAAAAAAATTCCCATTGTTAGAGTACATGATATCCAGAAACTAATGAAATGCCGATCAAAATTCACACCTGAAAAGCTCAGTTCCAGTAGGTTTAAACTCATTGTACTCCTTTGTCCCGGAAGTAACAGTGAGATCAAGATAGATGTTTTTGCTTGAATATGACTTGTTGCACTTCTTACATTTGAAACCAGACCTATAAATTGCCGGCCTGCATCATTCCAGTCTTGAATGATATAACACTCACCATCTAATGCTAAACAAATTCAGTAGTTATTCTGAATCATAACTTACACGTTGAAACCTGGAGGGCCTTTTCGAATAAGCGGCTCATAACAAATGGGGCAAGCGAACAAATCAGCAGCTGAAGTATCTTTGGCTTCAGTGATTGACTCCTAGAAAGCATGAAACAACCCAATATAATAAGCTGCATATAAAATCCTCAGAAAACATACTTTTCCTTTTAAAATGTTAACCAAATAAAGTTAACATGGGTGGGCCAAAAATGCACTAGAATCTGAGGCCCCGTGCTATCAATACCAAAACTCTTTCTTTTGGAAATAATTATAATATGCTTCATAACAAAATTTTAAATAGCCAGATAGCATGCTTTTTCTTAAGAATTACCCCATTCAATAGGCATTTCTTATGTTCCAACTTTTTCGCCTAAAAATTACATCACATATTTTGCTTCATAAACAAAACCAATCTTTTTTAAAAAAATAAAAATAAATAATAATAATAAAAAAAAATTAACAAACCAATGTAACTAATACAATTTAAGAGATACTGAAATATTATAATATAAGAAGGTATCTATTATCAACCTTTTTCCACAGTATGGCACTCTTATGTTTCTTCTCAATCACAAATATTAAAGAACTTCCCTATCGCCAGGTTTTAAACCTAACAAATGCATGAAAAAGTAATAATTAAAATATTCTTCCTCTATGCATTCAAAAGATTAACACACAGAAACAATCAAAACCAATACTCAATACTAATACCACCAAACGATTTTACTGAAGCTGTGCACACTATCTCACTGGATAACGGCAACGAACTAATATTTAACTACAAATTTATACCATCACCAGTCATAATCCACAATAATCTTCTAAATGTCTGTGAATTTCAAGTTAAACCACAAAAACGTGCCCATTTCCCCTGTGGGCGTTCTAATTTATAAATGTACAAGATTGGGTAAGCTCACGCAAGTTGAAAAACTAGATATAAAAACAAATTGAAAAGAAGAATTACTGGCTGCATAGTAACAGCAGATATCGCACGGATTCTACCAGGAGGGCAAACAGCAAGGGGACGTAGCTGAGAATTACGAACAAGATTAAGGTTCATCGGGAAGAAAGTAGAATTCTGTTGTATACGGATGGCCGGCTGGGCCGCTATAGCCATGATCTCCTCCTGTGGCTGATGTTGAGCTTCCTTTCTCTTTCTGTGAGATGATTGTTTGTGTCGAGTCGAGTGTAAAGATATACACAGTATATATTGGCGATTTCATTATTACAGAGAGAAGGGGCGGAATTTTGATATTTTCGTTTAATATTTTTCGATGAATTCGTGGCCAAATGAGAGGGGTTTTAAATTTCTGGTATTAAAACTGTACACGAGTATTTAAAAATTAAAAAATAAATACATAAATAAACAATTTTAACATCCGAAGAATACTTGATTTCTGCTTTTATTATCCAAAATTTTAACTTCATCAATTTTGTTTGAAGTGGTTAACAAAATCAATCGCATTTTGTCCAAAAACGATAAGAACCAACAACCACCGCATTTAATATAGCACACATATTAGCTTTAGCTCGAACTAGATAGAATTGGTCAAACACGAGTGTCCCGTTCAAGTCATCTACAGCTCGGAGGCCGCATCGGTTAAGGATTACAAACCCTACCTGCCTACCATGAGGCGAATAGAGTTCGGGGCAAGGTAATTTAAGGGAAGGCGATAAAAGTGACTCAACCAGATCTTGTCCTCTTGCAAAGAGAACTTGAGGCCACTATTGACCTGGTCCATGAAGAATGTATAAAAACCCGGAGGGGACTGATCAAAACTATCACCAAGATTAGGAGCTTGGAAAGTCCAAGATTTTGGAAGCTCGTATTGATGTTCAAAATATGTTATTTGCTCGTAAGAATAATGAAAAAAAAATGGTTGATTTTTACAAGCTTAACGATTTCGGGACAGTCTCGACCTTTTTCCCTAGACTAAGGTCATCTGTTTTCTACGTCTCTCTAGCTCGACGCGCTTAACTAAAACACCTTTAGGTGTAGGAAGACGCTCGACCTGCTAGGTGTAGTTATCCACTAGGGTTCACGCTATCCAGTAAGGAACTAGTGGGGTGACCAAAGTTAGACATTGTTGGGCTCGATGAAGGGTTAGTTGTTTGCTAATCGAATTCTATGAAATTATTCCTAAGTGCAGCGGATTTAAAGTTTATGACGTGTGAGATATGTCAACGCAGAGACGATTGTACGGTCTATGGGAGAACGAACAGTTCTTCCACTTAACCTTGAAGTCTTCTGCCATATTCCTTCATCAGGCGTCGAGTGGGCTACTATCTCTCTAGCTTGTGTTGCTGGTTATCTCTTTTCTCTTGCTCACGTGAAATCTCGTCCCTCTTTCTCTCTTGGAGTGTGGCGTGATTTTATGTGGTCTAGCTAGAGAATGAAACCTCCACATGTCATATTTCTAGGAAACAACAACGACGTTAAGAAGGTTAGAATTAGGTCTTCCAGTATTGAATACTTAGGTTATGATCCACCTTATTTCTTAGCTCATTAATATTAAAATCAGTCCACTAAAGATTTCTTACTGCACTATATGTTCTTCACCCCAATTACTCAGGCTATACTATCCTTTTTTTGATCGGTACAGGCTCTACTATCTTTGGTTCATCTTGTCGTGTTTAAGATATCAAAAATTTCATTAATTGATTTAATTACTGACAATTTAATTTCTTGGTTCTCCGAAACTAGTACCATTCAACCTTATTATTATATTATGTAGAAACTCAATCCGTCTTCAGTGATTGACATGTTTGGATATACTGTAAAAGCTCGGCTTTCAGTTTCTAAAAATACCATTTTGAATAAGAATCATATTTTAGTCAAATGTATGTTTGCAGTTTATTTATTTCAGTGAACATATTTTCCTTTATTGTACATTGTAGATAATATGGTTCGATGTGTCGAACAGAAAGATCATATTATCGATGCCTTGTAAATTATAAATATTTGTTCACTGCCCAGACAAAAATGAACTAACTATCGTGAAAAACTATATGGTGATTTTGAATTAGTTGGTATTTGACTAATGAATTACACTAGTACATCACGAATATATTGGACGGACGTACGAAGGATAATATTATTTTATACTAACCAATTAAATAATGTAGACCTCAGTAATTGTTGCGTTCTCTTAACCCGTAAGACAATAAAAACGAACACATGTATTCGGTACTTATTTATTTTATTTACCATGGTGAGACTATTCTGGTAAGTTGACAAGCTCCATAAGAATTATTGAAGACTCAATGAAGCCGAAGACATACAGAATATTAATTTATAGTTTGAAAGATAGAAAATGTAATATAATTTGTACAAACGCAGTAACTATGTTAACTTTTCCACACTCAAGACCAGTACAAGATAGGCATCATACATAATCTTTCTAAAGATTTTATGTCCCCCAATGGTGAGGCCCACACGCTCCAGCACAAATTTTTACAATCATCTTGATTCTAAAGTAAACATGCAAAAATTGTATGTCTCACGTTTGGCGGAGCTGATACGCTCTTTAGCATGATTTCCTACTATCATTTCATGGAAGTTAGTCCTGGTGATCTTTCAGTTATTTTTATAGTAATTTCACCGAATAGTGGAGCCCACACTTTATACAAATTACATCACCGACAAAAGTAGAGACCGTAGTATGATTGGATATAAATCCAACCCAAAAAATCTAACCATTTTTAACTCAACCACTTTTTTTAACTCAACTTTAACTCAACCCCTCTATCATCAATATTATCAATATAATTAAATAATATCAATCAATCATTCTTACACACAACATCAACCTTAATTCACTATTCATCAACTCACATAATTTTAACTAATCATCACATCACATCTTTTCTCTCCTACTTTTACAGCATTTAATTTTAATCATTTTATTTTAAATATTATTTTAACATACCCACTAACAACTAACCATATCAACTTTTTTAAATTTAACCAACCCAAACAAAAAATTCAATCAAAACAAAAAAAATTATATCCAATCATGCTCAGATTTTTAAAATTAGCTTAATTTTAAAATTTTCTTCCCACGTAGTATTTTAATTAAGGATTTTTAATATATGAAATTCCATAATAAATTCACATGCCATTAAGAAACAATTAATTAATCATGCATATTTAGCAATAAATAGAAATAATATAAATTAGTAAACAAATCTCACTCTTATGGTAATCAAATGGAGCTCAAGTAGAAAAGGAAATAATTTAGTCAATCTCCTATTGGAATTGGGCAAAACTTTATTTTTAGTCCTGTTGGTTTAATGCCATAGCAATTTAGTCTCAAGGTTCTCACTTTCCGACTTTCGGTCCTATGATTTAATATTTCCATGTTTATAGGTTTTTTATCATCAGGCTAGGTCCTATAATTTAAAACTTTGTTGCAATTTCAGTCTTGTAATTTGATTTTGTTGCAATTTAAGTACTCAAAGACTGAAATTACAGCAAAATATCAAATTACAGGACCAAAAGGCGAATTGTTAGAATCTTGAGACTAAAAAGACTATAACTTTAAATCAGCAGGAGTAAAAATTCAATTTAGCCATTAGAATTGATATACATCATTAGCCAAGAAGTCCTAAACTAACAAACTTCTTGTCTAAGTAAGCCAGTCGCCAGATTTTCGTCGGCCGCTTCTGTCTGCCGTACCACCACTGTGGTGCCGCCGGAAGGTCACTGTTGTCGTCGTTTTCCAGCCATCGCCAAATGTGTCCTTTCCGCCAGCAATCATTCTGCGTAGCGTAAGGCCTGGCCGCCGCCGTGTGTGCCACCTGAGCGCGCTATCAGGTCATCGAGACGTACATGTCACTCCAATGACTATCTCACACCAGGAAGTCGAAGAGTCACCGAGTCGCATGTGGTGCCAAAGTCTTGATCGAAAATCACGTTGCCAACGCCTGCGCGTCGTCGGGTTGTGACCAAGTTCCTATTGCACGTCTGCACGCAACCAGGCTGGCCTGCGTGCATGCTCGGCGAGGCCTGGGCGCTACGTGCCCGCATTTCTATGGTCTGTTGCATGTGGATGTGGTGCTCGTGGGTCCATCGCTAATGGCCTTCGGCCATCGCCTGCGCCACAACATTATATGCACCGTGCCCATGGCCAGCGCTTGATCGTCCGCAATTGGACCACTGAGATAGCAAGCTGCCCCCGGTACTCATGTGGCCATGCGTAGCTGTGTCTGATGAGATGTTCTCAGGTCATTGACTGACCAATCGTCGAGCTTTTTGGTCGCCATGTTCGTCCGCATTAAACACATTAAAAAAGGTACAAAAATTACATAATTGATCTTAGATCTACAGATGGTTTACATGCTCGTCTACAAATAACATTAAATCTATACGGTGTCTCACCATGAGAATAAAGTTATTACAAGAATTCACCAACCCATAAAATCCTCGACTACAAGGCTGTAAAACCGAGAAGAAATTAAACAAGCATTTAAGGCCATAACAGTGGATTCATATACTCCTGCAAAACCCAGTTATGCAATAATCCAAAATATGGTTGCGCTCGTACACACTTTAGTTACACAAGCCTTAAAGATTCTAACTTTGCACGAAATCAAATTAAACCAAGTGCTCTGATACCACTTGGTTGGGCTCTGTTAGGAACGTCGAAATTATTCAAGTGACGAATCATCTACGAAATAAACCTAAGTGCAAAAGAACTAGAGTTTAGATTTGAGCACTTGCGGTTTAAAATTTTTTGTAGGGTCTGCACAAACATACACGGTCTACGGTGCCGGATGAACAGTTCTAAGACGAGTTCTCTACCTCGTCTGATCACTTTGCCTTGGCCAGTCATGTCTCTGCCGATGTTCGTTGTCCATGATCACCACATCGCACCTCATTGGTGGCTAGTCGCGTCGTGCATCGCTTAGAAAACACTGACTGTTGTTGGTCACACTGCATCACCTAGGGGGTTGCTGAACAATGGTCGAGTTGTTGGTGGTCATCGTTGATTGCTACAGTGCTCTGCTATGCGATGGCGGGTCGGCTGGATGTAATTGACGCTGGCTATGGGCTGTCAGGCATTGTTGGGTCGCCTGTTGCACCATGCGACAATGTCGCAGAGGATGCCGCCTATACGTGCGGCTAGCCTATCACTCGACAAAGTTGAGCTGGAACCCATTTACGAGTGGGTCGTCGAGCATGTCCCGCACTGGGTGTGCTTGTCGCGTGCATGGCACAACGCCTAAAAAAATCTCGCACGTCAGCTAGCGCGAGCAACCCGCTCTTCTACACCCGTCTGTGGCTGACCCTGCACGTCTGCGGCCAGTCGTCCTGCCCAAC